GTTTTGTTTTGCTTGCCCAGCCGGCTTTTCTTCCTTCTGTGATTTCTTGTCTTTTTTTTGCCAGAATAAGGGGGGGGGGGCACAGGCCCCTAGGGTCCCTCCCCTAGATCCGCCACTGGATTGTGCAAACTAAATTAAATACCCCAACAGTACTCGCCGCAAATTTTGGTGAGAGGGCGAGGCGAGGTTGCATGCCCTATCTCAGACCAAAATTTCGTGAGTTTGATACCCTCCGCTATTTAACATCTCTAAAATTATTTAACGAGAACGAGAACGACACGATATTCTAGATTTTGCCTTTGTTCACAGCCACTCGTTTTGCGTGTGACGTTGACCAATCCGCAAACATTTGGATTTGAGTTTCATCTGACGTCATTACCAAGTGCATATGGTACACAATTGGCCTTCGTGCTGGTTGTTCTATTTTTCGCTGATAAACTTGCTGACGAGACCCAACCAGGTCTAAACATCTGTACATGTCACAATTCTAAGCTGTCAGTTTGGACTCTAAAATGTCGTTGTCGTGAAAAAGTAAACAGGCTTGCTTCATTGTTATCCCAAAATTTGTACACGTCTCGATCTGTCACGTGACCTCATCTATCCAGGAAAAACGAATCAAAATACATCAATGAGTGAAGAAGCGAAAGTTCACCACGCGGATGAAGCTATAGCTATCGCATAAGGCGGGAAAAATATTCGTGGTAAGAGAAAAGAAAGGCTCTGTAAAAGTTTCGGAACTTGACAGCATATAACAGGGATGTTGACAGAGACTCTTCTGAGTCGACGAATCGTCGGACTCCAGGAGTCTTTTTGCGAAGCAGAAGATTTTTCTTAGCGCTGTTTTCTCGAATAATTTTTTTCGCTTGAAGCAGACACTTTAAAGAGTTATAACTCAAAGGTAATTTGTTCAATTGCCCTCAAATTTGGACAGTAGCTAGTTTAACATATAAACTACAAAAAATTGCTGCCAATTATCAATTTCGAAATACTTTTTCTCCGAGTGCGATTTCTGTACGATCACTCCAAGTTTTTTTAATCCTATTTCGAGAATGTTCTGTAACTTTTTACTGCAATTGAATATGCCAAAACGCAGACATAGTTTTTAAGCGCTTTGGGCCCTGAAACAGAGGAAAAAAATTAAATTGGCGAAAAACAAAATTCGCTTTGACTTGCAGCTTTCGAAAGGTGATTCGGGCGCTCGCATTTAGTGGTCGTGGACAATTCGACAATTCATTTTATTTCAAAATTCTTGGTATAGTTTGATAGCCACCTCTATAAGCTTCAATTTGATATAGAAGTTTGGGCGTCTACATCTTTAACTGCACTCGCTACATCGCTTGCACGCTTGACACCCGGCCTGTGCGTCTCGAAAAGTTTAGCCTAAATTTTTCAAGTTCGTCGTTTGTAATCCTTGTCAATCTTCTCCATCCTCAACCATTCTGGTTCCGTTATGATTTATTATCAACTCTCTGGTGTTTTTCTATCTTAGTAGACCATTATTTTCAGGTTTACTTCAATTTAAAGGTAATTTTGTACATGGTCAAAATAACTAAAACTACCGTGACTGTGGTTTTTAATAAACTGGGACTTACTTGGGCATCTGCACAGCTTTGATCCGGTGTCAACAATCATGTCCTCAAACTACGCTTCAGTACCAGGTGAACAATGGTAATTATCAAGCGGGCACAGGGGTACACACATGAAAAGATCACCACTACCACAATGGCAGAACCCACTGCAGCCCATATAGAAATGACCACCCGGTTGGATTGTCTGACCATCCACCACGCAAGGCTGAGGAAACAGTCATTGATTTTACGAAAATTAAATGTTAAGTGATCGGCGAATTTTACAAGAAAAAAAAAACTAAATGAGAGTTATTACCAAAGGGAATAAATAATTTTATGCAACCTGCCCCACGATTAGTTTCCCGGATGGAGTCACATCCGGGACTTGAATATGTTTGTATTTAGGCAGGACAAGTTTTTCCCTACCCACTTTACCCCTCACGCTTTAGGTGCATTATCGGTGGTACATCATAACACACGTAGTGTCACGTAAAAGCGTGTTTGCCCTCACCTTTGCTGGAAAAAGAGGTACTTAATTATTTTTGATCTTATGATATGATCTTAACAATAAATGGTCACTTAACTGAGTGGCCAAATTATGTCAAAGAACTGTGTCAGCTTAATTCTCTTCCCAACAAACTGAGCTTAGCCTTAGCAATGCACATTGCCGGAAATACAATCCTTAACAAGGGGCAAGGGGCATGAGAGTTTGTTTCATATGATCATTTATGCTGGGTCGAAAGAGCCGTCTGAGTTCTCTTAACACAACGGCAACGGCAACGAGAATTAACGTCACCAAACTAAAGGTTTAATGAGCGAAACAATGGCTGTACACGTGCATTATAATTGTTGGTACATCAGTCTTTGCCGTCCTCTGAAAACAACAACATGAAATGAGCCAATTCTGCGTTGTCTGGAGAACGTGAACCACA